ACGTTGCGAATGCCCACGTTGCGATTGCCCACGTTGCGATTGCCCACGGGTTGCTTTTGCCCACGTTGCGATTGCCCACGAGTTGCTTTTGCCCACGTTGCTTTTAACACATAATTTGTTTTTTTGCTTCTAAGGCCCATCGTCGTAGATCTAAATCATGAATAATTCTATTGTTGTTGTTAGCGTCTTTGAACTGTTCCAAGACATATTGAGAAATATCTAATAGTTTTTGTCTATGAGTACCACCTTTTTGTAAAGAGAGGTTCCATTTATACAATTGCGACAAGGACTTTACCTTTTTAAAACGATGTTGTACTGTTGATAAAGTGTAATGCCTTTTTTTCCACTTTTCCAGAACTTAACAGCTTTTCTTTCATAGTTATTATTTACAATTACTTCTTCTGGTGGACAAGTATCTTCTTCCTCATCTTCATCACTTTCTTCAAGGTCTTCTACTTCGTCTGTTTCAACAAATTCTGCATCACATCCCGGTAAAAAATTTCTCATACATAATCATACAAAAATGGTTATATTTAATTATGCAAACTTATATGCCGAATATGTCCATATATAACTAGACACATTTATACATAAATGAATATGAATAGATATGTTTATATATTGTTATATAGAGGTATATATTTTTATAATAATAGGTTTTTTGTTTTGGTTTATTATGTTTTTATTGTTTATTTATTGTTTTATAATTATAAATATAATATAAAAATATATAATATATATTATAACGCGCTCGTATATGTGTATTTTTACAAAAATATTTCTGCGTTACAATATATTTGTACATATGCTTATTGCACAAAAAAGTGCTTAAACTTGAAATAAAAACAAGTATTGCTGAAACTTGACATCAGTCGTGCATATATCAATATCTAAATACAAAATAAAAAGTATCTAAATCATAACAACTAGATTTTAAACATTTTGAATATAAATTTGAAACAAAATCTCTTTTTACAAAAACAACGGTATTGTAATTAAACTTGAAATACAAAAAAAAGCATTGCTTAAACTAACATCAGTCGTGTATATATTAGTCTATATTGTATTAACTAAATACATAGTCAAAATCATCTAAATCATAATGTAATATCTAAATTTTAAACAAATTTTAAATATAAATTTAAAACAAAAATCTTTTCA